GGGAAGAGCTCGGCGTCAGACGTAGCGAAATCAGGTCCGGGTTGAGGAGGAGCGGGTCGCTGTTGCTGGAGGCGTCGGGGGCTGTCGAGCAGCGTTGGGGCGCTCGACTGCTGCTGGCGGTGAGGCTAGTGGGGTTGGTGGTGGCCGTCGAGGGAAACGGGGGCAGGCTGGGGCGGGACGGTTGCGGGGAGGAGGTGCAAGCGGCGGTGATGCTAGGGCTAGAGCTGTCGGCGACGAGAACTGCGGCGGCGAGGTCGGCGGCGGGCTGGAACTCGAGCTCGAGCTCGACAGCAGAGAGGAGAGAGAGAGAAAGAAAGAAAGAGAGAATGAGAGAGAGAAAGGCTGTGTAGAGAGAGAGTGGCTGAGGTTGGTTTAAATAGACAAAAAATTGAATAAAAAAATTAAATAAAATAAATAAAAATATTGTGAGATGATTCGCAGTGGAGCCGTTTTTTTGGAAAAAAAAGAGAAGGGAGAGCCAACTATGAGGGGTTTGGGTGACGCGGAAAGCAGAAAAGATTCAAATGGGTTCAGGTATTTAAACGAAAATAATTAAAATAAATAATTTCGGGTACTTAAAAATTAAACTAATTACATAATAATTATCTACAAATAAAAACGTACATGTTGAGCTAATAAAACAGTTGATACGAAACTGTCAAAATATACCCATATTGTATAATTAAACAGAAATAATTAATAATAAAAATATATTTACTTACATTTAAAATCAAATAATTATGTGACAATTATCTACACGATAAAACATACCAGTTATGCTAATACGACAGCTGATACGTAATAATTAAAATAATACAATAATTTATACAAATAATACGTAATTAATAATTTAACATAATACAAGAACTAATACATAATAATAATAATAATACCACGTATTATTCAAAATGATTCGTAATAGTATCGGTAAACCAACGGATAAATCCCAGAAATTTTCATTGCACTAAATTAATTTATAAATATAAAAAACATTTAAATAAATATAAAACTTAGACTTTAAATTATAGAAAATTCTAGAAAATCGAGAAAAATACAAATACTCTTTTAAAAATCATAATTAAATATTTTAAAATACCAAAAATTTATTTTAACTAGTATCAAAATTTTACGGTCATTACATATTTACTTTGAGATGTTGACACACCCGTTATGGACGATAGTTATATTTCGTTTTGGTTTGGATGGCATCCTCTTATATTAGAGCAGGCTACTCAGATGTACTTCGAGATGAGATATTTATTCTTTATGTTGGAGATTGGAGTATGTTTCCTTGACTATTTGTTTTTCATTTATAGAGAGCTATATAAATGATTTGATATATGTATGTATTGACCCTATTTTTCTTATATACTCCTACCCTTCCCCTGGGGAGAGGTAGTGATGATCTTGCTAGCGCTTTGACGCTCGTTGTTTTTCCTCTTTCAGGCAACGAGTCTGGCGCACGGAGAGTCGCAGGTTGATGAGACATCTTAGTTGTCTGTTTAGCTATTTATTATATTTTGTAGTTATTACAGAACTCTACATGTAGTTGATTATTTTCAGACTCTAGATTGGTATTTTATTTCATAGAGTTGAGAGCTATTGTGAGACTTTGTATATTTGACTCGTTGTGTTTGAGATTCAGTTCAGACTCAGAGATATATCTACTTCATTCCAGTTAGGCTCATTATTAATATTTCTTATGTTTCTTCTGTGTATATTTTCAGTGTTGTTCGATTTTGATTATTTACTTGTATGTACCTTCATCTATTTAATGTTTCCACTAGAGAGATAGTGATTATGATGGTGAAACATATCGTAGCATGGTGATTTGGTGCTTGGCAGGTTTGACAATCCGGGTTTCACCTGAGACTGTAGCCTTGTGTGAACCCTGGGGCGTCACACTATCTCTTCTCGGTCAGCAGCTCTCAGATCTTTATATTTGTTCTCATTGTCGCAATGTAATTTTTTATTCATCTACGTGATTCTCTTCCAAAACATCAGTTGGTGAGGCAATTCCATTTGATCAATTGCCTCATTTTGCTGCTCGATCGCTTGATTGATATTATGGGGCATAGCTTATGCAATAGACAGATTGAGTATTAATTAGTAAAAGAATAATTGACAACCAAGAGATAACATTAACAAATCATTTTTATATAATTTACAATTACTACAATACTTACCAATCCTCGAAGAATGTAATCATCTTCTAATCCCCTTTCACTTTTTTTTTGGAGATAGGCTATCTTGGGCTACGTGCCCTAGCAGTATCTCTC